ACCTAGGCGCACCGCAGAAGCTTTTCTAGCAAAGCTACCTTCTTCCCCCGAATACAACGTGCGGTCATTATGGCTGTATTTGGAGCATCTTGCAGTCCAATTACAGCCATAACGACTGTACGTTGTATTCGGGGGAAGAAGGTAGGGCTGATCTTTCTCCCTGCTCTGGTGTCAACTAAGGGCGTCCTTCCACTACTCGCGAAATGTGCAAAACGAGAGCGAATCTTCCGCTAGAACAATGGAAAGATACACTGCCACAATTTTTGTCTTTTGTGCATGTGGAGAGGAGAGTAGTGGAGCGAGACCCTAAGACCGACACCTAGTTCCAAAAGGCCCTGCCGATATTCCCCAGTTCATGTCTGAAGCTCCTAAGGCAGAGGTTATAATGAATTGTCAGGATTGACAGAACCATCATTAAAAAAAAGGGGAAACTACGCAGGAGTCACAAAAACGAGTTATAATTGCACTATGGGCCAAGATACAGTTTCGAATTGCAGTTCAGGCAATGTATACAACCCAGTTTTCTGGCCAGGTAGGGTGCCCGAAGTGCCATTGCAAACTGTATCTTGCCCCATACTGCAATTATAACTCGTTTTCGTGACTCTACTGAAGTTACCCCTAAAAAAAAGGACCCATCATCATTAGTTCCAGCTCAAAAACATGCCACACATGCCCCTACAGACGTTCTCCCAATTACCTTTGATCCCCACGCACCCCTACAGACATTACGCAGCTTACATCTTATGCATGTCACAACACTCACAAAACGAATCCACCGCACTAAGAATGTTACGGTCGGTAGCCCCGTACATCGAGTCTCAGCGGTTTCGTTTTTGACCGTGATCGATCCTGGGCGTGCAGATCGGGACCAGTTCAGGTGTTCTGATAATTGTTATGGTAGAGTAAACTGACCTGCGGGAGTGCGAGAGGGTGGAGGTTAGGATATGGATTGAATGCTGGTTCTGGATGAAGGCAAGAAATGTGGAGGGGACCCCGTGACGATGACTGTGCGTGACACCAAGTGCATAAAATTTTCAGTAAGGGGGAAAAAAGCAGGTCCACGTCACATCGGAGTTTCACAGGGGGGGGAAACATGTGTCAGCAAAGAAACGAGGCGCGAGTTCGAAAAGGGCAATGAAAGTGCCGCCGCCGTGGTGTCAGGCTGGGCCAGGTGTCATATTTACATGGGCCGGTCGCATTGTCAGATGGGAAAAGAAAAAAGAAAAAAGAAAAAAAGCCCAACGGATGCCGTTTCGAAGTCGGCACGTGATTTCTTTGCCGGCGCGTGTTTTTGTTGCCTTTACGAACTCAAAACCTGCCGCGTCCGCCATTGTTTCTTTCAAGGGGTAACTAGGGCGCAGTCACGAAAGCAGTTTGTAAATGCATTTCGAACTGCCTTTTTGGAGTCCAGTACCGTCCCAAGTTTCAACTGCAGTCGAAACACTTCACACGCATAAAAGTCGCANTTTTTTTTTTGGTTGGTTGGTTACGTATTCCCACGTACGGGAGTACGTGTCACGTACAGGAATACGTGTACGCGTACACGTACACCGTGCTACCCAGGATTAAACTGTGGATAACCGGTCGCCTGTGGTTGTATCTCAAGGTCATCTCGCCCGTGCTAAAAGAATTGCTTACTGGTCCCGTTCAAGCAATTCGGAAAAGAATGGCTACCTATGGGGTTCACATTGGTATCCTATCAGTATGTTGTACACAAATGCTCATTGTACATGCTGATCTGGTTGGTGGATGGTTTGTTTGTTTTCGTTTTATTCCAGTTTTTGGATGCTGTAGACAAGAGGCTCAACACATTTGGTATGTAAATCACAATTTGATATATGTTTTAACCATACATGCAAGCGGACGCTGTGCGGAAAATTCCACACGTTTGCGCACCAGCGGACCCGCACGGTGCAGAGCACGGCATGTGCGGCGCACGGGGGAAATATTCACTCAAAAGAAAAAAAGGGGTAGCATGGGTGGGTCAATGGTCACCTGCGTCCCCTTTAAAGATTTGTTTGGGGGGGGGGGGGGGGGGAGAACTAGTTGGAGGGTAATGCTACTTCCTAAAGGTCAAGACTGATGTCCCGGACCTTATCTCAGGTGCTAGAGCCATGTTTGGGTAATTGAAAGGCCCTCATGTTGGATTTTGGTGGCATCTTGTGGAACTAAAAGAAGAGTCATGATAAAAGAAGATGCATTGTGAATGACCAAGATGGTGGAAATTTCATGTGGCTCACGGCAGCTTACTGATGTAGTTGCAACGTGTTGTTGATCTTGTGGTTGCAGTGCTGCAGATTGAATTTGCCAACACAGTTGAAGAGAGCCATATAGACCTTAAGAGCCACGGAATCCAGCCTGCGGAGATGGATTTGCTGACAGAAACTGCAGCGAATGGATTCGGACTTTACGCATTCAAATGACAATAGCACTGGTCTTCTGCCTTGTGGTCAGAGTGGCCCACTGCAACAAGCTCTGCATCACAGCTTGACAGGACCAAGACAGCCTGATTGCCACTGATCCTCTGCAACAGAAACAGTGCAGGTCTGCTGATGATCTGCAGCACAACAGTTCATTCTTGCTGATCCACTGTAACAAGTAGCCCGAACTGCCGTTCTTGCTGATCCTCTGTAACAAGTAGCCCAAACTGCCATTCTTGCTGATCCTCTGTAACAAGCGGCCTAAACTGCCAATCACAGCCAACCCTCCAACCCTCCAGGTTCTCCATAACAATAGTGGGCCAGGTTCTCCATGACAATACTGGGGACATAGCAATATTGGTAATATGGTCTCAAGATTAAGGCTGAGCATCTTTGGGAATATGGTCTCAAGATTAAGGCTGAGCATCAAGACTTCAATTGCTAGTGAATGATGTGTGCACTTTTCCATGCACATGTCGTTGCCTCTTCACCTCTTTGATTATAACTTTTCCCAGTCACAGTCTGTGGAGATTCCTGGCCGATTACAAGGGCCAAACTCTCTCCTTTCTAACTGCTACACCTCAGTCACCTCTGTGTTCCTGCTACATCAGCACATGTAGCTAGAAATGTATCTGTGTCCTGAGACCACTGCGGATATGAGCACAAATGCTGCATGGGCTACATCAGCACACAACACCAGCCAAGTCCAGTTCTTTGCGAACATCATCTTGCGTCCCGAAGCCTTTCCTGGCAGAGCACAAATGTCATATCTGCAACCGATGCATGCTTTGCTAGACGGGTCGACTCTGGACTGCAATCTTGTTCTCCATGCCCCACTTCATTGTCTGCACTGATCCTGCCAAAGGCGGTTCAGCTGGCCTGTTCTCCATGCCCCACTTCATTGTCTGCCCTGATCCTGCCAAAGGCGGTTCAGCTGGCCTGTCCTCCCAAGTCCTCTCTTTTGTCTTAGATACACCTCTTCAGAATTAGCATGTAGCTGGTCGTTGTTCTCTGTGAGGTTGTTACTGCATAATACCGGGAACAAGTAGCTGATCGGTGCTCACTGCGGGGCTGTGCCACTACGTAACTAGTGCATTTGGTAGCTAATGCTGAACGGTATGTACATGGCCCTGGTTTCTGTCCATGCCTCATGTCATGCAGGAAGACTATGTCATTACCTCTTGATTTTGGTGTGGTGCTGTCAGATATGTGTACTGAACATGCTTGCCACAGCAGCAAGTTGGCCTAGTACCACCTGATATGCTTCTGTAGGAGCATCAGCTTTTTAATGCCTGATATGTCATTACTTCTAAACTGCTTTTGCTAAAATTTGTGTACGTTGAACTACGTTCATATATTTCTTAGAATCCCCTACCATTACAACAGATATGGCATTGTTGTTTTTCCTTGCAATAGATCTCCTCATGACAGAGATGATGCTCCACTGCTCACTGCGTTCTTCTGTACAGGAGGATCTTGTACCAACAATTAGCGTATGGGAAATGTTATCACCTTCAGCACCTTCCCGGCCGACTTCCTCATCAGCTTCATTGGCACAACTGCCTTGTCAACCCTGGTGAATTCCCCTGCCAACTTCCCGGTCAACTTCCCAGTTAACTGTTTTCCCACCTCCTCTGTTTCCTTGTCCATCTTCTTCGACATTTGCAGCTGCTATGGATGGTATCCTTTGTGAAATCGGTGACCTGAAAGGGTGCTTCTGCGCTTACAGCTTGTGGAAACCACTCTCCGGTTACACATCACGAGGACCTAAGCTCCACCTCAGCAGTGCTCCAGCAGCTGGGCCATTGAAGTTCACTACATATGCTAGCAGGAGCAACACCACATAACTTACCTTCAGCGTCGGTTGCGTATTGTCTAGTGTTGCATCGACTTGAGATGAGTATGTGCTCTTCACACAAAACTACCAAGTGCAAGGAGGTAATCACTGTGTTTCCGACTTGCCCTTCGAGAGTGTTGAGACATGTTTTCCACTTTTCTTCTTTGTCTATTGTTGGTAGTCCTCCTGAAATGCCGAGACACACACACAGACATATCTAAAGTTTGAAACCTATGCACACAACTACCCAAACACACAAATGAACACTCGAGCATGCAAACACACAAACATACAAACACTCGAGCACACGAATACATGAACACAAACATGCAAACACTCGAGCACACAAACACCAAAACACGTGCAGCAGACAAACCTCTGCCAATGTGTGGTAACACTGCATGTGCATACTTTTGCTTGTTTTTTCGAGTCTTCTTTTTTTTTTTTTTGCGTCCCGTCATGGTTGGTTTCTGTTTGTTTCTTTTGTGGGTGGGTTTGCTGGCACAGGTGGTATGTGTTAGTTAGAGGCGTGTTTCACATTGTAGCACCTTCTTTTGTTCATTCATAAGTGGACGTATGGTTCGCTGTACTCATTTGGAGCTTGGTTGAGTTATAGTAGAAGTTCTCTAGAATCTTCAGTTACTTTAGGTTTTCCCCTTCAGACAGAAGAGGTGTCTTCCAACTTTCATCATGGAAGTATAACACTCTTGTAATTCTGGTGCTGCTGTTGGCGTTGCTTCTAGTGACAATTGTCGAACATCTATTGTCGATCTATACCGGTCATGTGTAATATGCGAGTTCGACCTATGCTTGGAATGCTGCAAGGAGGTGAGGAATGGTAAGCAGCCTGGTGGACGAGGGTTTGCGCAGCGCTTCAATTGGGTGACGATTACACAAGATAAGGACCATGAGAAGGGAGAGCGCACTGTGGGTCGTCATGGTGAGCTGACGTGGGCTGTGGGATCTGATGGGGATGTCCTGTGCCCTCGTAAGGCCTGTCGTGGGAAAGAGATGGATTTGAAGTCGGTGATGGGAGGGGATTGGTTGAAAGAACTTCTGTGTAAAGCTGAGAAAATGGTCCACAAGTTTGGTACGCAGATGCGGGCAGAGCATTTGGCCGTGAAGGGACGTACCCAAGGGGCATGTGATTGTGAACACTTTGCTGGTAAGAGGAGGCGGGCAGCGTATCGCACAGATAGTGACGATAACTACATATACTGTCCTGATGTAAGTGACATTGATGGACGGGACAATCTGTCCCTGAGGGAATCAGCATTGAGGCACTTTCAGGACCACTGGGGAAAAGGGCATCCAGTCATCGTGACTGGAATTCAGAACAGGACAACGACAGGTATCAGTTGGGATCCGATGGTGGTCTGGAGGGCTGTCAGGGAGGTCTCTGTGAAGGATGGCTCTGAAGTTGCTGAGGCCTTAGCTGTTTATGCAATCGACTGCCTTGACTGGTGCACTGTAGGTTCCTCTACCCCTTCCACCCAGCCCGATCCTTTTGTGTCTTTCTGTGATAATGTCTTTTTGTGAAGATCTCCTGTATGCTGTATGTCTCCACAGAGTCCACTTCTTGCATTACATGGAACCCTTCCTTGCTTATGACAGAAGTGTCCCTTTCGAAATGTTCTGCAAATGTATACCAATTACATGGCACTGAAAGATACAGAAGTTGAAAAAAAAGAAGACAAATTTGGGCTTATTGTTACCTGTGTGCCAAATGAAAGAATGATTTCAGTTTCCAGTCCGTCACTGGTAGGAGGTCTGGAAGTTGTTTGTTTTTGGAAAGCTGTTAATATTGTGTGCAGATGCAGTAACCCGTGTTCTGCAGCAGTCTGGGCCCTCGAATTGGAGCCCAGACGACGCAGGCCAAACTCGGCCTGCGCCAGGCAGTGTGACCACACACTGCCCGTGGGAAAATCAAAAGTCCAAGTCCACTGTCAGGTCAAAGGTACCGCACCCAGGCCCTTGGTCGGATACACTCACTTGTTGTGCGCAGGTACCGAGACAGCATCAAGGCCAGAAGGAATTCGGTTTCAGGTCAATCTGGGGTCCAGACCCCACGTCAACGCTACTAAAGCGCTGACCGCGCGCCAGCCAGGATCGCAATAGTGAGGTGGCGTTGCGATCCCACACTGACGTGGCATATCATGTGCCGCATCTAGAGACTTGGTTGCGCGAGATTGCTGACGTGGCATTCTCGTGCTGCATTAGCAGCTGAGGCACGACCAAGTCCGGTACTGATGCTGACGTGGCCTTTGGACATCAAGACTGGTTGCTGACGTGGCAGGCAGGTGTCGTACACGATTGTCTTCTAATGTGGCGAGCCTGCTGACATGGCGTTGGCTCCATAGGCTGACGTGGCATTGACGTGATTGGCTGGAACAGCAACGGTATCACACCAAGACGCGAGGAAGCGGCAAGTGGGAAGGACCAGAGCACACATTTGCTGACGTGGCATCCCACTATTGACTGATAAGACACTGATGTGCTGATGTGGCAGGTCTGCTATGTTGGCACGCCAGGGATGACATGTGGCAGGCAGGTGGCTGCCAAGTAAGAGTTGCACCTCAAAGACGAAGGTGGTACGGCTGACTGTACGGCTGACTGGACAGCTGTAGTGCCAGCTGTCAAGAGGGGTGCGGTATCGCATTGACACCAGGAACGGCGCATGGAAGAAGAAGAAGGTTGCTGACTAATTGTTTGCTGATTGATGTTGGCATACCCACCCTGTCGTTTGCTATGTTGTGGTGCTGTGCGTACGTACTTGTGTGTTGTATCTGATCACACGGGCCTGAGGTGGTACCTGTACACTCTTGACTAGGACGTCATCACACAGACAGACAAAGAACAGTGAAAGTTAGAAGTAGAAATAATTGTATTTATTTTTCTTCTTCGGTTACCGAAATCCCTTCTGTTGTAGAATAGTGCGGCCGTGGAATTTATTCTTGTTATTGAGTATTTATTGTGCGGCAGACGCACATCAAGATGTATTTCTTATGGAACTGTCTGAAATTGTCCGCACTCACCCGATTTATTCCTCTCCTTTTCTATCCTGTCTCACTCATCTTTGGTATTGATGAGGAGACACCTGATCCCCAAACTAGACAGCAAGTGGAAGAGCGGAAGAGAGTTCTCATAGGCCGCTTGGACAAACTGATTTCTGAACTTCATGACGCCGGTGCAGAAGCCGAGGCCCATGTCAGGGCCCAGTTCGATTTAAAAGCAGTACACGCTGCTATTGAATCGGCTGAAACGGGCATTGACGTCATGCAAGCTCAGAATGAACTAATCAAGTGTCGTCAGGCACTTGATAAGTACATCGTTGAGCAGCTTACAAAGATTTCAGATCGGAAAGAGGAGAAGGAAGTAGTTGTGTTTGAAGAAGCTGTGGATGAAAATATCAGACAGCTAGAAGAAGCACTTGAACGGGAAAAGAAAAGAAAAGAGGAATTAAGGAAGGAAAAAGAAAGAAATGTCAGCAAGAGCAGAAGGTACAAGAAATTAGACAAACTGTTATTATGACCGAAGGGGAAGATCAGACAATTTCTTTGGCTTATCTTGTGACTTATTTGGCTCACCTTGAAATGAAAATCGATCAGTATGGTCAACGAATCGTGATGTGACTGCGGGACTGCAGATAATTACCAATCTGGTCAAGGGAAAGAATCGGGTGTCAGAAGAAGTCAAAGAAGGAAAAGAAGAAAAGCCAAAGAAGTTGATGGGAGATGCCATGAAGTCTCTGAAGGAAGAAACTCCCATGACTTCCAAAATGGACGAGAAGAAAGGGGAGCCTTCAAATCCGCCGACGTCTTTCGATGGAAAGAAAGACACTACCACACAACTTGAGAAACCAAAGAGAAAAGAGAAAGTCAAATGAAGCTGCTTTTCATGTTCTGCAACAAAAAAGATGAAATTTGTTGCTTTGGATTGCCGAAATTCAAACTTACTGCAGTATGCCCCTGTGGAACCCGAATCTCAACTCGCTTTCTCTACTTTTGGTCTTGGTGGGGAAGCAAAGGAATGGGTTCTGGGCGAAGCCAATGCAGCAGGGTTTGATGATACCGGGGAGTGGGCTGCTATGTTGACATTGAAACAGTTCTTGAGTAAAATCAAGGAACGCTTCTTGGATAAGACGACAACCGACAAGGCGACAACCGACAAGGCCTTTGACGCTTACTACCATCGGTCAGAAACATTGGACCTCGATAGAAACCTTGTCTCGGGAATTGGATCGGTTGCTGCAGGTTCTTGAGTTTGAAGTTGCAAGACAACCAAGTCTTGTATATTTATTCCCGCGCTCTGCCCGAGCCCAGCAGGGAACAACTCGTGGCAGAGTCCAAATCTGGCAAGTACAATTCCAGGCAGTTTCGTGATTTTGCTCTCCAACGAGAGCAAATGACTTCTCAGGTAAAAAAATTGTATGCATCTGTTGTTAAGTTTGGTGGTGGTGCAAGTGCAGGCAAGCGGGTACTTTGGCCCCAAAAGCGCCAGGACCACACTCTCGTTGTTTTTGACGACGATACTATGGAGAAGTGGCCATTGGAGGTCGAGGGTGTGGCAAGCGGCAGTGATTCCGGGAAGGGGGAAATCACTGCTGCAGTGGTCACCAAGGGAGGACCACGACCACCGATGAAGAAGAAGAGACCACGCTCGTTTCTCGAGCAGCCCGGAATTGCGGTCGGGAATCTATGGGAAAAGATGGGACTGTCACAAGAAACCTGGCTGGAGCGGATGGATAACGGGCAGTGCCTGAAGTGTGGTATTGCAGGGCATGTGATTGCATGGTGCCCGTTAATCCGTAACCCAAAAACGAGCCGCCAGTAGGAGTAGCATCTGCTCCTACTGAGTCAAAGTGTTTGGACCAAGATGAAGGTAAGGCGCCTACGACCCCTTCCAACCCTTCGACTCGCATGGCAGAGGATGGTTCTTCTTCGGCCTATCGTCTGGAACACCCTGAACCTGTCTTATGTACTGTTTGTGTGGACGACTCTCTTGAGTAGCATCTGCTCCTACCGAGTCAAAGGGTTTGGACCAAGATGAAGGTAAGGCGCCTACGACCCCTTCCAACCCTTTGACTCGCATGGCAGAGGATGGTTCTTCTTCGGCCTATCGTTCGGAACACCCGGAACCTGTCTTATGTACTGTCTGTTTGGACGACTCTCTTGACGAGCTTGGTAACGAGTTGCTAGCATTACGAAGCTCATGGGCTAGGAAATTTAAATCCAAGGGTGACCTACTACTTGTGGACGTAGAGATTGCACATACACGCGTAGGTGCACTGTTGGACTGAGGATCCACGCGATCCTACATATCCGAGAAAGCAATCCGCAAGTTACATCTCGGAATGATGGTGAAAGATGTGTCTCGACCTATCACATCTATCTTAGCTGACAGACGCACAATCACTATCTCGCAGTGTGTTGATCATGTCAAGTATCGATTTTGCACCAAGGAAGGAAAGAAGATTCTTCACGAGGTATCCTTTCTTGTGGAAAAGAACTTACCATTTGATCTGATTTTGGGGATGGATTGGCACGAGGAAGCCAACCCAGAAATGAAGTTCAAAGAAAAGACAGTGCAACTGCGGGATGCACACTTAAAATTGAAACCAATCAAACTATATCATAAATCTTGTTGTGACTCTACTTTATCTTTTTGTTGTATGAGTTATCCAGCTTTTCGATCAATGGTTTCAAAGAAAAAGTTGGAGCAGGAAGTAATGATGGTCTTGGTAAAGAAAGTAAGGGAATGCTCTACTTCCTATCCTCCTTCGATTGAAAAACTCCTAGAGGAGTATAAAGATCTGCATACTGAACCAACAGGAATAACTAAACGTGCTATCAAACACACGATGGAAATTATTCCTAGTAGTAAGATTCCCAAGGGCCCTATCTACCGAATGTCTCCTAGGGAACTTGAGGAACTTAAGAAACAGTTGCCGGACTTAAACCACCAGTATCCTCCAGAGCATTTTGCTGAACCTTTTTTTTTTCCATGCGACGAACCTCTTTGTCTCATGGGAATACAGTTGATAAGTAGTCGTGATATGGGGAGCTACCGGTCCCTCAACACGGGCGACCAGTACTTCTGTGCTGTTTTTTTTTTGTTTTTTTTCGTTTGTTTTCCCCCTTCTTTTATTTTTTTATTCCCGTGGTTTTCCTTTTTCCCCATTGGGCACTCTGCTACTGGCAGAGGAGCCGTAGAAGGCGTGAATAGCGGACTCATTGTCAGTAGAGTGCGCAACAAAAAAAAAAAAAAAAAAAAAAAAAAAA